ATATATATATATATATATATATATATATATATATATATATATATATATATATATATATATATATATATATATATATATATATATATATATTAAAGTGCCTATAAACCCAAAATGGGTTTTTGATTTAAACGTCTAGTTTCTGAGATACAACGGCTCAAAGTGCCAATTTTGAAAAAAAAGTAGCGCACAGAAGAGACTGGGTCGGAGGAACACCGAACACGTTGTATTAATTTCACAATAGGAAATTGTATTACAATCTGGGTAGGCAAGTGAAAAAACGACTATATTTTTGTGAAAAACCTGAAATGTCGAGCTCAAATTCACACTCGAGTATCTTTAGCAATTCGTCTGTTAGTAGTCCGTGTGAAATTGAAGTTGAGCGCGTTGAAACTGGATATTTTGAAGCCAGTCATGGGCCATGTGGATGGCAATTCAGACGAAGAAAAGGCTTCTTGGATGAACTGATTGCTGATGAAGCTTGGCTAGCTAGAAGAATACGAAAGTGAGAGGAAGACAATGAAAGGATGAGAGATTTAGAGGTGCGTTTTAAAGGGAATAAACCTGCAACGTCATTGTAATATTCAACACCTAAACTTGGTCGATATTAATGCTTGGCGATTTTGTTTATGGTTATATATGTTGACATGTTTGGCTCCGGATATTTACATATTGTATAAATTAGTTTACTGTCATTTAGGTGCAGGTGTGGAAACTGCAACACTGAAATGCTAAAGAATGCTATTGTTGCAGAAAAATCGAAAAATGTGTCGAATTTGTTGATGATTTGGGCTATCCTGGGTCAGTTGACAAAGAAGTATTTTGTGTATAAACAGATCACCCTGGTTTTTCAGCAGTGTGCCTAAACAGATGGTCGTTGGATCTTGCGGCAGAAACGTTTAAAACTCGTGATGGTCATCGTTATAGTCAACTTGGTCCAAAGGAAAGGTACAATAAATTTTAGAGCATTGGCATCAGTCAAATCCAGGCATTCCCCCCCCCCCGGGCAATGCCTGGGCTTTTGACAAATTTTTAAAATAAGAAAATCTGAGAAAATTTTGCCACAACTGTTCTTGAAATTGACATGTTCTATTTCACAATCTATTAATTGAAACCATGTGTGTTTATGCTTCGTACGATTATTGAATACCGTCTAGCATTTTTACAAGGCATATCACGTTCAACCACTTGTTTGACAAATATACTGACAGTAAGGCAAAAATATGGAGTTTGTCACTTGAGTGAAATTGAGGCTGCAATCCCCAATCGTGACCGGGTGTTTCCCAAAATGCCCAAGCAATTTGGGGTATTGCTACCATAGCTTTTATGTTACCAGTACTACAAACAATTAGAGACATTATTTGGGACACTGTTTATCACAAAATATTGACATCATACATTTTAATAAACTGATGTGATTGTATTGTTTTTAGATTATTAGTAATCTTTAGAAAATATAATATTAATTTTAAATGCCTCACCCCCGGGCAAAGGTTTGCATGCAAATGACCCTCCGCTGGCACATGCCACAGAGGCAAATACCCCGGGGTGGAGGATGGACATGCTTGGATTTGACTGATGCATTGTGCAGCTGCTTGTGTGGTAGAACAAAGTTGTTGTTTTCGAATTAACCCATTAACTTGCAATGCAACCTACTTTATTGTTTAGTCTTGCATGCAGATGATTTTACTCATCAGTGGTAAGGTACTGCCAGTAAATGGGTTAGCAAACCTATCTGGCAATGTCTCTTGTTAACCTGGCAATGCGCTCAGATGTGCCCTACTTTAGTATTTACTCCGTCCAACGCCAGACGATTTTACCCACTGCCAGTAAATGGGTTATGCGCATTGCTGCATGTTGTCCACCAGATTTCTACTCGTATAGTGTATAAAATTGAACCAAGAAATATTCTTTTTATTATACTGTAGATTTCTTCGAGTTGTTGCATATAGGCAGTTTACCCGCATGATTCACGGCAAATTAAAGGACAGACGTATACCACTGCCCCCGCTTGTGCATATACTGTAATACATTTGACACATAATATCAAGAATGGTGATGAATTTGAAGGTTATGATGACTGGGAAACAGACGATAAAAGCTTATAAGTTTATTTGAATGTTAAATATTTATGTAAAATATTATTGTTAGGCCTTGTTGTTCCGTGGACAATTAGTCACATTTTTGTGGCCTTTCATTGGCTGCTTGCATACACTGCACTTTAAGGTGGATTTCTTGGTTTGGATGCTTTCTTCTTGCTACTGACTGTAACAGCAGGGACTGAAATTATAAAATATTGTCAACATTAACTATAATTCTGTTACTGGCTAGTTCTATTGTCTAATGTATGTACAATCAGGGAATTTTCCCATTAATTTTTTTGTTTTAGTTTGGTATTTGAACACACTTTTTGCCAGGGGGTGGGGAATTTGAACAATCAAATTTTCAAAAGTTCAAATCCCCCGGTGTATAAAAATGAGACCACACCAACAACCGTACCATTTCTCCTTGTTCTGTAGATGTGCAAGGTTCAACATCTGGCTCATCAGCAGTTGATGTTGTCAGTGCTTTTTCAGGGTTTTCGACAAGTTCCTGTTGTCGTATTAATTATAAAGTTGAAACCACAAGATTAGTCTTATAATAAACAGAGTGACTATTTGACCCGCAGCCGGTCATGTTTCAAAATGTCTAAATGACCAGCATTATAAATTATGTTGTTTACAATAATCGAGCTCGTGTTTTAAACGTGACTTTAACTCTAAATACCAGACTGCCGGTCATTTAGTACATTTTGAAACGTGACTGGCTGCCGGTCAAATAGTCACAGGGTATAATAAAAGGGTATTTAATATTAATAAATTTCGTTGGCCCATGTGTTGTGATACACGACATGAGCCATATTAGTCATATTAAGGACATGCAGTTCTATTGTTCTCGACTGACTCTATTTACATGACATGAGAACGTTTAAACTTTATACAAATACCTTAATATAAGTTTATAGCAGGAAAAGGTTTGATTCACAAATCAAATATATGTAAATAAATGCGCTAATGATGCGAGTTCTGGTGGATAAACATAAAGTATTATTAGCAATACAATACCTTACTTCGCTTCATGCGACTCGTGCGCTCTGATTTCGCACTGCCAGAAAGTTGATTTTTATGTACTGTAGTCTCGGAGTGCTCTACTTTTCCACACTTTCAGAACCGTATACAAAACACTCCTCAGTGAAATGCTTTGAGCACACTAGTTGGATCCATTTGTCTCGTCTGCGACTCTGTGTCGAACAGAGGCTCAGCCATCGTTTCCTTCTCCTGACCGCTACGGGCAAATTATCATTCCAAAAAGATATTTGGTAGATAGAAATACCCTTCTTTGTGTCAGCAACGTTGGAACAACCGTAAACGACACACCGTTTAGGTATTTTAAGGCAAAAACTCTCGAAGTTGCGTCTACTTGTATTATAGAAAAGCAACTGAACGTGAAGAACGTGTTCCTCCGACCCAGGCTTTTGCAGTGAATTTGACTTGCGCGACTTTTTTTTCAAAAATGTTTTTTTTCAAAAACGGGCTGAGTGTTTGAGCCGTTGTATCTCAGAAACTAGAAGTTTAAAGCAAAATCTAATCTAGAACTTCCCTTTGTATGTAACTTTTTACGCTCTATCCGAATAATCAAAAAACCATTTTGGGTTTATAGGCACTTTAAGGTACAACAAATCGACAAAATCCACTAGGCATCTTTATTACTAAATAGTTTCGTACCACAGTATGTGGCACTCTTCAGATAAATTGACCTAATAATCTATTATATCTTTAATTTACTAATATTTTTAATTAATGATAGGTTGTTCTTCATCCCTTTCTCTTATTCGCTGATTTGAATAATATAACCGTTTAAAAATTTGTATATATATAATACACACTTGTAAATAAGTTTAATTGCTCTGCAGATATTGTGAACAATACAACGAAACGTTAGACAATAAATTTTATATTTTTGTTACGTCTTGTCTGAAAGTCATTTGCTGGGCTTTAATGTTCATTTTTAAATTACGCTTTCCACCCGGCGTATCAATTCCTACTGTTTTATGTAAATCAGCATGATTTTGTATCAGACATACAAACTCCTTCACGGTCATGATTTCTTTGTGTTTTCTTCATGAATTATTAATGAGTTTTACAATCCAAGAAAATAAGACAACTTTATATATGACCTCGATCTAATCTTGTTCTTTGTTAAAAAACTCTCCTACCTTTTCCACCGACTGTAGTTTCTGTAGTTCCTTCGGCCAGCTTCGTTGTAGGCCTATCATCCACATCATTTTCCAAGGTATCCATTTTCTCATCATCATTATCACTCCATTCAGTCTCTTCTGCATCTTTCTCGATCGTACAAGGAAAGTACTGGAGCATTAACTTTTGATAAATATCCAGGTTTTCTTGTGAAGACGCGCAAAAAATTATACGACCAACCTAGGATTGAAGCAAAGACTTTAACCGTTTCTCATTAATTGGTGAGCGGATTTCCCAATTGATAGGGGATCCGAGGTACCTACGATTTTAACGTCCTTATCCGAGAAAACGCGAACGTTTAACCATTTACTGGGGTCAATGTAAAGGTAGCATTTTCTCCTCAGTTATTTTAAGACTTTGAGTGGAGGTCCAACCAAGGATTGAACCCGGGTCTTCCATGCAGCGTGAAAGGCAAGCGTGGTGATCACGACACCACAAAAGCTGGTTAATGTTGAAATGACAAGTCAAAGACTTGTTCTTTTAAGTTAAAAATATGTTATGTTTTTCTTTTGTTGGGCGAGAAGTTAAACAGTCCTTCAGTTTTTGCGATATTGCCCACTTACATGCACGTGAATAATCAAACAATTTTATTACATACCCAATCATTATTTTCTTCCAACCACGATTTAACGGTTTTCAACGCAACATGAGCAACCTCTATTTTCGGGTACTCTAGAAACAATTTTTAAACTAACCTTACTTTAACTGTATCAATGTTTTTATTGTTCTTCCTAAAGGTCGGGTAAGGTCCAAAGGGATAAAGCTTTCATATGGAAAATTTTATCCCACTTGACTCAGATGCCACTTAGCGCAATGTGAGATCTCACCCAGCCAGGCTAACTCTTTTGTCATATAAACACAAATTGAATTTTATATGCGTTAACAAAAGGCATGCGGATCTCAGTCGGGTGGTTTCCCGATTAGACCCCAGACACGCGTGTTTATGTCGTGATTGACTGATTGAACGCTCTTCCCATGCGTGAAAAGACTGGGACTGGTCTTCAAGTTTGGCTTCTAATTTCCAGTTAGAGGTAGCGTTCCAGTTATATTCAGTTCAATGGTCCTCACCTTCACCGTGGTATGCTCTACCAGATATACACCAAAATGCCTGAAGAACAAAAATATGATCATTGCATTAAAATGCTTTATCAGGGAAAGAGTGAAATACTGTATTCTAGCTACAATATACAGTAAGGACGTCCACTATCTACAATACTGTAGTAATCCCCATAATACTCTCTGTAGTAATCTCTATGATGGGCTACTTTTAGCAAATCCCAATGGTAAATCCATAATCCAAGAAGACACTCGGGGGTTGTGCTTTTTCGCGTGTTGCTCCCAAACTTTGGAATTCTCTTCCAGCGAAAATAAGAGAACTACAGAACATTACAACTTTCAAAAATAGGATTAAGACATTTTTATTCCGTAGAACTTTTCAGTAAAGTCGGTTACAGACGAGCAAGTTTTCTATGACAAGTTTTTATGTGACAAGTTTTATTTGCCAAGTGCACGTATGTATATCATAGAATATTGTCTATTATTTATATGGTATATATGCAACAATTTTTTTTATTTAGTTTTTTTTTTTATAATTATATTTATCCAGGATACCCACATCACTAATGTGTTTTTCAGTGGGGTCCTGCAATTTTATATGATAAGTTTTCACATGACAAGTTTTATTCACTGGTGTGAACGTGTCAACAAGTTTACTTTGACAATTTATTAGTGGCCAGCTCGCCAATCGCATCAAATGCTCAGATTACTTTGACAAGTTTTCATTGTTGACCCATACAGACGAAAACAATTTGTACTTTGACAATTTTTACTATGACAAGTGTACTTGTTTAAAAACTGGAATGCTAGCTTTTGAACAAGTGTACTTGTCATAGAAAAAATTGTCAAAGTTGCGCGTACAGACGAGCAAATAAAACTTGTCACATAAAAACTTGTCATAGAAAACTTGCTCGTCTGCCACCGGCTTAATTGATTAGTGTTTGCACATGTATATAGCCTAATTGTATTACTCTTTTATTGTTTTATTGCTTATATCTATATAATCATGTATTGTAATGCGCATTTGAATATTGCATATGTAATAATTCATGAAGAATTAAAACACAAAAGAAATCATGAGCGTCGAGGAGTTTGTATATCTGATAGAAAATCATGCTGATTTATATATTAAAACTTATAAGTTCAATTTTCTCACCGAATAGACCTTTTTCACAAATTGTGATCAAGGCCTCATATCCTAGGAAACGGGGATAAACGCGGGAAAATTGACAAAATGTTTTGCTGCCGGCTATGGCAGCTTTTTTTCCGAAAATACTACGGCAGTCAATCGGAAAAAGAAATCTTTGCACTATTGTCGTAGTTTGTATGGCCAAAACAAACGACCAACTAGGCTACAAAACGTCTATATACAACACCAAAATCGTAAGAAATATGAAACTATTGTTGAAGAAATAAGATTACAACTCACTCACGTAATGTATAGCCTTCATTTTTTAAACTTGTAAGCTGCTTGCAGAATGTCATCGAGCCACAGGCATAGCTCATATTTTTCCGTGCGAAATCAATAACATTTGACATTCTGTTTGCGATTTTTGACATCTTGTTTTCTTTCATATTAATGTCAAACTCCACAAATTATACTTTCAGTCCATAGTTGTCTTGATTTTTCACGGAATAATCTATATATTGACGTTAAAATCTCAGTAAAATACTGTTTTTCGCTTTGCCTTTGGGATAAACACCATCGCTTAGTACGAGTTGTTATATTTTCCACACAGAAAACGGGAGAAAAACTGGTCTAATATACTCGTTAACAGCTTCCGCTGTGGGCACAAAATCTTAAAATACACACAAAAATCGTTACAAATCGAAATAAGCAACAAGAAACAAGCCGCTAAAGTCGACACAATAGCATCTGAATTTGGCTTGTCAAGCATTTTTCGCTTGTTTTCCCGCGTTTTCCCCGTATCCTAGGATATACGAGGCCTCGATCACGATTTATGAATAAGGTCTCTACACTGAACTATATAACATAGACCGTCTACATCATTCATTTATTTAAAATTGTTGAAGAATACGAATGTTCTCATCAAGACATTCAATTCACAAGCTACTGTATTTACAACATTTGCGTCCGTGCTGTATGGAATATGTAACCTGAAGTTCAGGCCACAGAATTAGGGCCTGAACTTCAGGTTATCGAATATGCAAACTCTCGCCTTCGGCTCGAGTTTATATATCCAATACAACATGGCCGCTGCATGATATTGTAAAAAGCACATTAAATATTATCATAACTCAACTGCATGCAATCATACCACAGAACTCAATTCGTGTTCTTTAACCAGCCTGAGACAGGAATTATAACAGCTTTCCAACAGTCGGACTCGTTGAAAAAATGGACCAACCGTATGAATCACATCTACACAACATGAAAAAAATAAAACCTGCAGGTCTCCATGTTGGCTTGTTGTTCTTCATGAATGTACCGTCAGTAAAACCTTCCCGCAGAGTATTTTCACAGCGTATACAACCAAGCTTGAAAATAAACGGCAGGACACAGACACTGTTCAACACAAAAAGATTTGTATACAAGTGTACTGAAACGGAGCAATTGGCCAAATGATTTGTGTACTTACGTTTAGCTGGAAGTTTTTGTCCTGTCGAAATAGAAGGAAAACACGCATTAATACCACAAAGGAGGATAGTTAAGCCCGGATGAAACGAGGATGAGAGTGCATGAAAGTTGACAGTCACGCGAGCTTGGTTAGCTGTTCTTAATGCTTTCCCAACACTATCATGTATTCTATTGAAGTTAAAACATAGTTGCAACACTCATCAAACCCTTATTTTGTTCATCTAGAGTTTGAAATGTCCGCTAGCTGAAACAATGCATGACTACCAACTCTCATCAACTCCTCGTTTGAGCGAGGTTTTATATAGAAACTTAATTAAATTAACTTGCATTGCGCCATAATGCACCCTATTTTATTACAGACTTTACTCTGTCGAACGCCAACACAATTTTTTACTCATCAAGTGGAGAGCGTCGGCGTTCAATGTTAAATTATCAAAAATAATCAATACGTATTGTACCCATTGAAACGAATATAACTGGAACGCGTGGTTGCGTCACGCGTGTCTATGTCATGAATGACTGATTGAGCGCTCTTCCCATGCGTGAAAAGACTGGGACTAGCCTTCAAGTTTGGCTTCAAATTTTCAGTTGGAGGTAGCGTTCCAGTTCTATTCAGTTCAATGATTGTACCTGAGGTGATTTTAGCATCACCAATGTCACATCCATTCAATTTTCTATATTCCTCCTGAAGTCCTTTGCCTGCAGCTTGATGAATATGACCATTGACTAAACAATAAGTGAACGTTGTGTAAACGAACAAGATAGATTTTCATCAAAACCTGTCCACAAGACGCGACTGAAAAACACAACCTACCTCTAATACTTCCAAGAAGACTTTCTCCCGCTGAAAGAAAATAATAAATGTGGCTTCACAACACTTTTTATCACGGGTGTCAGATATTGGGATCCGAGGTAACTGCATTACCTGCAAGTGACTGGAGCTAACTGCAAACCTGGATCAAAAGATCTTGTGCACGCTAGTATACTGCAGTAGAAAATTTCAATTTTTCCCAGTATCTTTTTACAATATTTACCCACCAGATTTAATAGGTGTTTCTTTTCTATAGCATTTTCTTTTCTATTTTATTTATCAAATCTCAAGCCGTCAAGCTCCGAGTTATGTTTCCTATTGCCAAAATTGACGTTCTTACGCTCAGTTGCTCAAAGCTTGAAAAACGTAACAATGCTTCCTGGTTTGTCCACCTGGGAAACTTAGTTAGGAAACCTACCAGCACTGACAATAGCATCAATTTCAAGCCGTGTTATATCTCCTGGCCAAAGTGAAACCTTTCTGTTTATGTGATCATTGTCAGTGGTCAATTCTAGGAAAATACGAATGATAGAATAATCAATAAAAAGATTTGGATCATATGATCATATTTAGGTTCAGGTCGTTTATCAACAAAACTTTCTAAATTAAGATTACATTAGGCAGTAAACACGAAGCTCTAGGAAGATGTTTTGTGACTGGTTGACTAAGGCAGTGCCAAAAGACGTAATTGGCTTAGATAAACAAAAGGAATATTGTTCTTCCTTAATTCGTTCTTTAGAAAATCATCAGGGGTCGAAATTCCCGCTATTCCGAATATAGTAAAATGCGTGACGGAATAGTAAACTTCATGATCACGGTATTCCGTTTGTATAGTAGAAAAAATTGTGGTACTAAATATCGACAAGCAAGGGTTTTCCTCTTGTATAATATATCACTTTATACCGGACTTTGAGCCACTGTTCCACTTCGTAGCTAAGTTCTTGTTCGCTTGCAGAACTTGCGTATTCTAATTTCTTTGCAGCAATATTAACTTAACAAGACGCTCTATGGGACGTTAACTCGCTGGGGCTATACAACTGACGCACATTACTGTTAAGATCTAAAGGTTGATTTCCACTGTTGCGTTTTTCGTATACGCACGTAAAACTTTGAATGCTTCTATTTTTTAAATATATTACAAATAAGTTTACAAATGAACTAAACTGGAAAACATTGAAAGAACGCAGAACTCAATTTGTAGCAAGTCTCATGTACAAAATAACCCACGATCTAGCGCCGAAACAACTAATTGATATGTTTCAAAAGACGCCTTCGTCTCAACATTATAACTTACGAGGTTATGCCACAAATCTCTACCTGCCCAAACCTAAGACCGAATATCTTAAAAAAGGTCTTAGTTATAGAGGAGCAAAATTGTGGAATGGCCTCCCAGATAGACTAAGAAATAAATGTTCTCTTAGTCAATTTAACTTGGGTGTGCGGCACCTAGCCAGTTAGATAATGAGTTTATGAAATTTTATTTATTTGACCATAGTAGAGTAATTATAATTGTATAATTGTATTGTAATGTGTTAGTCTTGTATATATATTTATCCTAATTGAGTGTAACGTTTGTATTTTTAAACCTACGCCCCTCTTGGAAATCAGCTCTTGCTGTAGGGGTTAGCGTAGACAAATAAAGTTTTTGCTTACTACTTACTTACTTACCTACAAATGCATACTAAAACTTGCGGAACACTAAATTCTGTTGCTTTATTTATTTGGTTATTTCATAAGTAACATTTAAACGGATTTAAAGTTTTACGTGCGTATACGTACGTATGAAAAACGCAACAGTGGAAATCAGCCTTTAAGAGGAAAAGTCGGGCGTTTAAAGTTATATTCTATAGTACGCTACATTCTTCTGTCGGCCGCAAGTTTAAAACGTTCAAAATAAAATATTTTGGGGCTTTTGGGATCAAAATATTATCAAAATGAAGAGAGAAGTGAGACGAATCCACTGGTATACGGCCGAAAAAGAAAAACAAATGATACCAAAGTTATCAAGGATCAAACGTACTGCATTTTTTTTAATTTGAGAATTGAGCGATTTGTCAACAAATAATACAATTTCGCTTGGCTTTCAAAGACAAAGGCCATAAATCGCTAGAATACTGTTGTCAGTTGTTTAGTAATACAGTTGACATCCGTAGGTACAATTTCTCATTCGTAAAGTCTGTTTTCCACTAGGCGGAATTTTGCGCGGGGAGCAGAATTTTTCTTTGTCTTGTGATTTCTCGGGTGGAACTAATTAGAAAAGACAAAGAAAAATTCCGCTCCGCACGCAAAATTCCGCCTATAGTTGAAAACAGGCGTAAGTACAATTTCTTACGCTGAATCGAACGGTGGTATTTTATCCTTATTGCGCCATTAGGCAATACAAATACAAGGTCGGACAAACCATAGTTTAAGCCTGTTTTCCACTAGGCGGAATTTTGCGCGCGGAGCGGAATTTTTCTTTGTCTTGTGATTTCTCGGGTGGAACTAATTAGAAAAATTCCGCTCCGCGCGCAAAATTCCGCCTAGTGGAAAACAAGCTTAATAGAGGAGATGGTTTGGAAACTCGTTAGCATTACAATAAACTGATCTCAATAAACCTCATTATCTATGTTGTCCAGGCAGTATGCAAAAATGTGGTCTTTCATCGTCACGTGCGTATTGTATTTTTCTCAAGTCAACCAATAAGAATGTTGAAAATGTTCTATTGTTAAAGTCATGGATGGGCAATTGGACAAAACCGTTGCTATTGGCTGGTTGAGCAAAAATACAATACGCACGTGACGATTAAAGACCATATTTTTGCATAAACCTGAAAAAACATAGACAATGAGGTTTATTGTAATGCTAATGAGTTTCCAAACCATCTCCTCTATTAACTATGGACAAACGGCGAGATGATTTGTCAACAATACAATTTCGCTTGATTTTCAAAGGCCATATATCGCTAGAATACTGGTGTTTAGTAATACATTTGGCATCCTGAGTACAATTTCTTACGCTGAATCGCCGGAACGGTGGTATTTTTATCCTTATTGCGCCATTAATAGGCATTATAAATACAATATCATATTTCAAACTGAGTACACTACAGTTTTCACGGACTGTTGTTCGATAAATTTTATATTGATATGACACCAATATGCTTCTCATAAAGTAGTTATAACTTAAACTGCACAACGTAGTTTTAATAAATAACCTTTTACCTTGAAATTGTCTTTGGCTCGTTTATATTCAGATTCAGTATATTATGATCGTGCACGGGAATTCAACGATCCAAATTTCGA